GAGGAATTAAACCCAGGGCCTCATGCATGCAAGGCAAGCACTCTACCACTGAGCCACCTTCCTAGCCCCCAACAGAAAGGTTGTATTTTTTTCCCCCAGTCATGGGGCTTGAACTCTGGGCCCGGGCACTGTCCCTCAGCTCTTCAGCTCAAGGCTAGCTTTCTACCACTTGAACCACAGCACCACTAAAAAAAATCTTCTACAAGAACAAAAAAAAAAATTGTGTTTTTGGTTTTGGGGTTTTTTTTTTTGTACTAATCCTGAGGCTTGAAATTAGGACATGGGCACTGTCCCTGAGCTTCTGCTCAAGGCTAATACTGTACCACTTGAGCCACAAAACCACTTCCAGCCTTTTCTGTGTATGTGGTTGGTATTGAGGAATTGAATCTGGGGCTTCACGCATGCTAGACAAGCACACTACCACTAAGCCACATTCCCAGCTCATATGTAATTTTTTTACAGTACAACTTTAACGGCTCAAATGATGCCCGTCTAGTAAGCATGAAGACCTGAGTTCAAACCCCAGTGCCACAAAAAAAAAACAAACAGCAAACTTTATTCATATTAACCATATTTCAAGTCCTTAATGGCCCCACATGGTTAGTGCAGAGCAATGATCCACATTGAATAATATACCCCTCCTCCAAATTCATCTCTTGAAAAGTTTCATGAGATATATAAAAATATGTGACAGTTTGGTGGCTGATGCCTATCATCCTAGTACTCAAGAGGCTGAGACAAGAGGATCATCAGTTCAAGGCTAGCTGGGGCAACATAAGTGAGAATCTTTCTCAAAAAATATAAAGTAATGGCCGCCTGTTATCCTACCTACTCAGGAGGCTAAGATCTGAGGATCACAATCTGAAGCCAGCCTGGGCAGAAAGTCCATGAGACCCTTATCTCCAATTAACCACCTGAAAACTGGAAGTGGCGCTGTGGCTCAAGTGGTAGAGCAGTAGCCTTGAGCTGAGTGACAGAGCCCATGCCCAGAGTTCAAGCCCCATGACCGGATTAAAAAAAAATTTTATATATACATATATATATACATACATACATACATATATGTATATACGTATATGTGTGTGTGTATACACACCAAGGTACATGCTAGTGTCACATAATTAAATATACTGAGCTGGACTTGGTGGCACATGCCCATAATTCCAGGTACTCAGGAAGGCAGAGATGGGAAGACTAAAATCTGAGACAGGCCCAAGGAAAAACAAAGCAGTATCTATTCAAAATAACAAAAGCAATATAGTGCCTATCAAGCTTGAGACACTGAACTTGAACTTCACTACTGCAAAAAAAGAAAGAAAAAAACATACTGGAAGAGCATCCGTCGTAGGTACTTACTGACATCCTGATCTTCAATGAGTTTTTCCAGGGTCTTCCCACTACAGCTGTGCAATACGGCTGCATCACATTGCCCATCTTTCAAATTAAATTCGTATACAACCAGTTCATAATTTTCAGTAAGAGCAAGCATTTTGGGCTTGTCCGTTGAGGTGCTGCTATGAGAATCCTCCCATAAAAAGCTGGAAAAAGTATGGATTTATTATATTCTATATCTATAATCACAGGAATGGAAGCGCAGGGTGCATGTAATTTGTTTCACATGATGGCCTTCATTCTGTACTCCAACTTGATTATATAAATTGTTTTCTTTTCCTCTTCCTCACTTCTTATCCCTTTGCCCCTGCTCACTAGCATAGGAGCTAAGAGTGGGTATTAAAAGGTGGGAATAGAGCAAGAAATAATGTCTCCTTTTACAACTAAATCCTGACTGATCTGGTTAGAGAAACTCATCAAGGATAAGTGCTATCAAATATATTATTTATGAGGTACTACTTGCAATAATAGTTTCCTGGGATGTTTTAGAAGACTTTAGAAAGTAAATCAATTCAGGGGCTGGGAAAGTGGCTCAGTGGTAGAACGCTTGCCTTGCGCTGAAGAGCTGAGGGACAGTGCCCAGGCCTAGAGTTCAGGCCCCACTTTGGACCACCCCCCCCCCAAAAAAAAAGAAAGAAAGTAAAGCAATTCATTGCATCTATGGATGTATAACTATTCTGTCCAGGGAACTTTGTGACAGTAGAAAAGTTCTGTATCAGTGTTACTCAAGACAGTAGCCTGTAAATAATTAGATGTATCTAAAAGTAACTTAAATGTGCGTAGTCCAATTTAGGAACTAATTTTTTTCCTTTTTTTTTCTCTTTTTTCTAATTTTTTTCTCAATTTTACCTAACTTTAACAGCCTCATGTAGCTAGTGACTACCATACTAGACAGCAAGTTTTTGCCATCTTAAAGCCATGTAGTGTGAAAATACCAATACTAGCTTAATGTCTTATCTCAATAGGTTTTCCTATAGGATTCAGGATTCTGCTGCCTTTTGATATAGTGTACCCCTTTACCAGGCACTCACAAGTACTACTTGAGAACAGTGAATAAATTTCTATGGAGATACGGTTCCTCTTAGCAAGTAGAGACCAAGAATAAGGCAGGAGCTTGTTGCATCACTGACTTAACTCATTTTTTTTTGGTCGGTCATGGGACCTGAACTCTGGGCCTGGGTGCTGTCCCTCAGCTCTTCAGCTCAAGGCTAGCGCTCTACCACTTGAGCCACAGCGCCACTTCCAGCATTTTCTGTTTATGTGGTGTTGAGGAATCGAACCCAGGGCCTCATGCATACGAGGCAAGCATTCTACCACTGAGCCACCTTCCAGCCCCTTAACTCATCTCTACTAAGTGCTTTTACAGGACCTAAAGATTATTGTAAGGTGAGATATTCCTTGGCTACTACTCCCTATCAACTTTTAAGTACTGGAGAATGACAGAAGTGAAAAATACGTATTATTTTAATTATGCCTCTCTGTGCCTTCAAGTCATGGTCACCTGATATGCAAGAAACAGTTCAGGCTGAGCAGGATAGCCATTTACAAGCCGTACAGACACTTTATGTATCCTGTCTCAAAAAAAAAAAAGCACACAGGGAAGTGGCACTGGCACAAAGTGGTGCAAAACTAACACTGAGCAAAAAACAAAGCTCAGAGACAGTGCTAAGGCCCCGAGTTCAAGCCCCATGACCAACCAAAAAAAAAAAAAAAAACCAAACCAGCACATAACTAACTGGTTGAATAGATGTGATTCAGACCATCTGGACTTCGGAAAAGGAGGCCTGTGCAGGAAAATGTCACTTCAGGGACCAAATTAAGTATGAGGAGTGGTTTCGTGACGAGTTCCATCTTAGCTTCTTTGCATGCAGGGAAACTGAGTTGGGCAAGGGGCGCTGGGACGGCCAACCTGCGGTGAGTGACCGAAGCCTCCATCCGTGCTCCAGCCGAGGGGCCACGGGTGGGACATCATCCCCTCGGGCAGGCGGGGGAAACCGAGGGGGAAAAGCACCCCTCGGCCGCCTCCCCCCCCCCCCCGCCCCGCTCCCCGCCTCCCCGCCCCCCCCCGCCCCCCCCGCCTACCCCCCCGCCCCCCGCCCCGCCCCGCTCCCCCCCGCCCCCCCCGCCTCCCCGCCCCCCCGCCCCGCTCCCCGCCCCCCGCCCCGCTGCCCGTCCCCATCCCCCCCACCCCCCCCCCACCCCCGGCCCGGACACTCACTGCCGGAACGGCCCCTCGAGGCGGCAGCAGCCCCCGCCGCGGCGGCCCGGGGCCAGGGAAAGCACCAGCAGACGGCCCGAAGCCGTCAAGCTCCCCAGGGCTTCCTGCCCCCTGTGCAGCTGCGCTCCGCACCCCAGCTGCCCCGTCGCCTCGGGAGGGAGCGGCACCAGTAACATAGGCAGAACCCGCTCCATGGCTCGGCGAGCACAGCCACCTCGGCCGCCGCCGCCGCCGCCGAGGCTCCGGCCCGGGACCGCAGCACTTCCGGCCCCGGGCTTCGACGCCATCCTGGTCTAGCCGGCTCTTCCGGTCACGTGTGCGGGACCGGCCGGGATCTGCGTCCTGGGCATGCGCGGCGCTCACGCAGCGCACTGGGGCCTCTAGGCTCTCCCGGGGCGGCCGTGGGACCGGCGGCTTCCCCAGCGTGGAGGGCGGAGGGCGGCGCGCCATCCCGCAACTCGGCTCGGCGTCGCACGAATACTTGAAAGCCTCGCTCAGCAGCCTTGAAGCAAACCGCTGCAGCTGTTTCCGCTCCGGGGCAGTACCCGTGGCCTCCTTGGTCTAACCCCAGGTGCGCCCCGTTCGGATCGGCCCTGCCCCTCTCAGCTTTCCCTTGGTCGCTGTTGATTGGTTTACAGACTCTCGAGCAAGGCCGAAAGAGCCTTGTCTTCTGTGGGGTACCAGTGGCTCACGCCTGTAATCCTCACTACTCAGAGGCTGCCTGCTGAGGACGGGTTCGAAGCCAGCCTGGACAGGAAAGCCTGTGAGACTCTTCTCTGTGAAGCACCAAAAAGCTGCAAGTGGCGCTTCTGGCTCAAGTGGTAAGAGCACAGAAGCTCAGAAACAGCACCTTGGTCCCGAGTTTCAGCCCCAAGAACATGCACAATAAAGGGGAGGCAGGGAGGGAAGAAAAAAAAGAAACGAAAGAAAGGTCTTAACAGTCCTCATCGTATCTATTCAATGTCTAGGACAGCTTGAAGAAAAAGCATAGAGAAGGCGTTGAGGGAGCATCTCCTAGTAGCAGGACCTTCTTAAGGCCCTCCTGTCTATAATCCAAACACTGCAGTTTAAATACAGCCTCTGACTGGGAGACTTAGTGGTAGAGTGCTCGCCTAACGTGCTTGAAGCCCTGGGTTCAGTTTCTCAGTACGACATAAACAGAAAAAAGAAAAAGCTGAAAGTGGCACTGTGGCTCAAGTGGTAGAGTGCTAGCCTTGAGCAAAGAAAGCAGCTCAGGACAGTGCCCAGGTTCAAGCCCCAAGACTGGCAAAAAAAAAAAGATACAACAAGCATTGTTGACACAGTCACACTTAAGATGAACTTCATTACAGCTCCCAATTTACAAAGAAGTTTCAGCAATACCATTCAACAACTTCCTCTTTAATTACAACTTCAGCCACACCTTATTTTGGGGCACATCATTTAGATTTTAAGAAAAGGATATAAAAATGGTTTGGATATTAAGGCATAAGCAATGTCTTCAGACTCTGGATCCCTGTAGACAATTCAGTTAGCTTGGTGTATAATGATTAAACTTCTCACATATTCTAGAACATCAGGAGATGCAGGCAAGTCTACAAAGAAAACAATGTTAACTGCAAACACAATTCCATTTTATAAGTTGTGTGATTTAATTATCTGGCTCTCTCTAGCAGATAGTAAGTTCCTGGGACAGACGTTCTTCATGTTTTCACATTTATATCCTGGAGTCATCTCTGAAATATTTCTTGAATGAGTAACTCAACTTTTTAAGTTACTGCCCTCAAATAGCATTACAAGGACCAAACACTTGGGAAAATAAGGTTTAGTTGAAGAAACAGGTACCAAGGTGCTAATTGTGGGTAGATTGGTTCCTCAAATCAATGTCAGTGTTTAGAAGAACTTCTGAAGCACATTACCCTTCATGCTCATAGGAAAGTAAGGAGGCGAGTAACAGAACCTAAATTAAACGTGCACAAGGGGCTGTGATCTTGTTTCTGCCATCACTTACTCCATCCTGGCCTCCAGTTGTTGAACCAATTGTTTGTCCACATGGTGACAGAACAGGGGAAGAAGGTTGCAGGGAAAGGCTAGAGGTTCTGCCAGGGAGGCTGCAGGAATTCGGGCTATCTCCCAGGCTATCAGAACCACCAACTCTGTCCTGGAGGACAGAGAGAAGAAATGCATTGGAGTCTTTACATTAACACAAGAAAGTAAGAGGAGCCAAGTTTCCATCACTACTGTCATAGCCTCCATTCCCAGATAGCAATTAAGTCATAGAGCACTAAATGATAGCAAATACTGGAGCTTAAATATCTTTCTATATACACAGCTTCCTGTACCTGAGAATACTAGTATCCTTGTAGATGAAAATACAGACTAAGAGGAAATGGACCTGTGGCTCAAGTGGTATAGCACTAGCGTTGGGCAAAAGAGGCTCAGGGATAGCAACCAGACCCTAGTTCAAGCCCCAGGACCACCATAAAAATAGAAATAATCAAGCCCCAGGACCACCATAAAGAAAGAGAGAGGGGGGAGGGGAGGGGAGGGGGGAGGGGAGGGGAGAGGGGAGGGGAAGGGAAGGGAGCAGAACACCAGTAGCTCATGCCTATAATCCTAACTACTGAAAAGGCCAAGATCTGAGGATCACAGTTCAAAAGCCAGCCTAGGCAGGAAAGTTTGTGAGACTCTTACCACCAATTAATCACAAGAAAACTGGAAGTGATGGCACAGTACAAATCTTCAGCAAGAGCTTGGACAGCATCCAAGCTATAAATTCAAGCCTCAAGACTGACCCAAAAAAGAAAGGAGAACAAGGAGAAGAGGAAGAAAGAAAATACAGCCTACGTGAAGTACTTCACCATAAAGTTCCATTACTAATGACAGAACCAGAAACTCAAAATTGACTCTGAAACTTATCCTTCCAAATCAGGATTTTTTTCTTCTTTTGTCTTTTTCAGTGTGGGGTTTGAACTCAAGGCCTCACACTTGCTAGGTAGATAGCTCTATCAGTTAAACTAGAACCACAACCTTAAAAAATTTATCCTCTGGGGGCTGGGAAGGTGGCTCAGTGGTAGAGTGCTTGCCTTGCATGCATGAGGCCCTCGGTTCGATTCCTCAGCACCACATAAGCAGAAAAAAGCTGGAAGTGGCACTGTGGCTCAAGTGGTAGAGTGCTCGCCTTGAACTGAAGAGCTCAGCAACAGCACCCAGGCTCAGCGTTCAGGCCCCATGACCACAAAAAAAATTAAATTTATATATATATATATGTATCTCCTCTGAACTTGGAGGCATGGCTTAAGTGATAGAAGAAGCTGAGTGAAGAAGCCGAATAGCTGAGAAGGCCTTGAATTCAATCCCTGGTACCACCACAAAACAAGTTACATCCAGTACTGGAGGGGAAACAATGATAAAATCCCTGTACATCTCCTCGCTGATACTTCAGTTGCTACTCAGGAAACTTATGTGGCTCAGCCCACACATCCCAGGGATACTGAGATAGTACTGATAAGGCCTTTTTCTTACCAAGCTGTGTGATCACCAAGCTCCTCAAGGGAAGAATCCTGGGATAGCAGGTGCTCTCCATGACTCAGTAAAGCATAAAGCAAGGATATTCCAAACTGTAAGTGACATACAATCCAAGACAAAATGAGTTTACTATAGGCATTTAGTGCCTTTAAAAAAAAAAAAAAAAAAAAGCAGCCAGGCACCCGTGGCGCACACCTATAATCCTAGCTACTCAGGAGGCTGAGATCTGAGGATCGAAGTTCAGGCCCAGCCCAGGCAGGAAAGTCCGTGAGACTCTTATCTCCAATAAACCACTCAAAAACTAGAAGTGGTACTGTGGCTCAAGTGGTAAAGCACTAACCTTGGGCACAAAGAGACTCAGGGGCTGTGCCCAGGCTGTGAGTTCAAGCCCCACAAACCAACAGGAAAAAAAAAAAAGAAAAAATCTGTTAGTTTTCCAACTAAGTCACAGGTTCACATTTATAAATGGGGACAAATACTGAGAAGTACAGTACTGTCAGATTTACATTGCTAAACAAAGAACTCTGGCCTTCCCAAAGGAATCACTGTTCTTAACTTTCACAAGCTCTCCTGAGAGCTGACTGCATGTACACTCCTAAATCCACCTCCAAGAAATCCGTCTGTAGATCAGGAATGAATTAGGAAACTCATTCAGGTAGTCTGGATGACTCTGCCTGAAGAAGTGCAAGTATAAGCTAACATCTTTAAAGGACACACAAAAATCCACTACAATATTGGATGATAGTTTCTCTTATCTAGTCTCATCCTTTAAAAGTTACTTGGGCTAGAAGAGTACAGCTTGGTGATAGAAGAAATGCTTAGCATGCACAAGGCCCTTGGTTTAATATCCCACACCACAAAGAAACCTTTCTACTTTGCATTTATTAGGTACCAAATATATTATTACACCTAGGTACATGCAGTTTGAAAACATGTAGGCTATGGTTCCAGTTTTCTTACTAAAAGAGGTATATATGAAAATTTGGAGATGACTTCTGTACAGACAGCAGCATCAAGAAACCTGGTAGAAAAGCAGATGTGTACTTTTTTTTTCCCCTTTGGTCAGTCATGGGGCTTGAACTGTGGGCCTGGGCGCTGTCCTTCAGCTCAAGGCTAGCGCTTTACCATTTGAGCCACAGCACCACTTCCAATTTTCTGGCGATTTATTGAAGTAAGAGTCACACAGACTTTCCTGCCCAGGCAGGCTTTAAACCAGGACCCTGAGATCTCAGCCTCCTGAGTAGCTAGGATTACAGGCCTGAGCAACTGGCTCAGACGTGTACTTTCCATTTCCTGGCTACTGTGAGGTGAATAACTCTACACCACCACACCCTTCTCCTGTGACTGTTTCCTATGCCCATAGGAAGGCAGAGTCTGCTCTTGAAAAATGTGAGTTAAGGGGCTGGGAAAGTGGCTCAGTGGTAGAATGCTTGCTTCGTATGCATGAGGCCCTGGGTTCCATTCCTCAGCACCACATAAACAGAAAAAGCCGGAAGTGGCGCTGTGGCTCAAGTGGTAGAGCGCTAGCCTTGAGCTGAAGAGCTGAGGGACAGTGCCCAGGCCCAGAGTTCAGGCCCCACAACCGGACCCCAAAAAAAAAAAATGTGAGTTAAATCTTTGCTCTTAAAAAAAAATAATGGCTCACATGCATGAGGTTCTGGGTTCAATTCATCAGCACCAAGTAAGCAGAAAAAAGCCAGAAACGATGCTGTGGCTCAAGTGGTAGGGCACTAGGCTTGAGCTGAAGAGGTGAGAGACAGTTCACAGGCCCAGAGTTCAACTGACACAACAAAAAAACGACAAAGATTAAAAAAAAAAAACCTCTTGTGTCCCTATCTTGGGGTTCATTTCGTTGCCGGGCACTGGTGCCTCACCCTGTAATCCAAGCTACTCAGGAGGCTGAGATCTGATGATCGAGGTTCAAAGCCAGCCCGGGGAGGAAAGTCCGTGAGACTCTTATCTCCAATAAACTAATAGAAAACTGGAAGTGGCGCTGTGGCTCAAGCGGTAGAGCGCTCGCCTTGAGCTGAAGGACAGCGCCCCGGACCAGAGTTGAGGCCCCACAACCTACCAAAAAAAAAAAAAAAAGGAGGGGGGGAGGCTACAATGCTTGATAAGAAATGTACTCACTATCTTGCCCATGTAATTGTAACTCTTCTGTACAGTATTTTCACAATAAAAAAAATAGAAAGAAAAAAAAAACAGGTGTTTAAGATGCCACTTTCCTACTTTCTGATTTGAGTGGAACCAAGGAAGTACTGTCTATTAACTAGGTTCTCTTCTATTCTGTGCTCACTAGAAGCTGGGAAGCATTGCTGGAGATAAAAGATTTGTGTAGAGGTGAGAACATCTCCTCATTTATTCCTTTCCAGTGGTACCATTTAGAAAACCATCTGTGGAAGAAAAGTCTCCCAGATGTGTTACCTGGTTCTGAAGTACCATAGCAATGCGACGCTCTGAGGAGCCAAATGGCAGCAACATTAGCCCCTGAAGTCCTTGGAGAAGTTCACGGAAGGTTAAGTTTCTGATACAGTTGCACAGAGGCTTGAATAACATGTGTAGGGCCTGCAAGAAGATCAGTAAGCTTTCTCAAAACTTCCTCCAATCCTTTCCTCCTAGCTTGCCTTGAAGCCCTTACTTGGCTGATTTGCATTAAGCACTTTCCTGGGGAGAAACCCGACATCTCATTCATCCTTAAAATTGAGCCCTAAGCCAGGTGCACAGTAGCTCACACCTGTAATCCTAGCTACTCAGGAGGCTGAGATCTGAGGATCCTGGTTCAAAGCCAGCCCCATTAGTTATCTCCAATTAACCACCAGAAAACCAGAAGTAGCATTGTAGCTCAAATAGTAGAGAGCTAGCCTTGAGCTGAAGAGCTGAGGGACAGCACCCGGGCCCAGAGTTCAAGCCCCATGACTGACAAAAAAATGAGACCTGAAATACCCACCTGTTCTACAATGTCTTCCCTAAATGAAGTGTATATGGGCCTCAACACTTGTCTTCTCTCAAATCTCACAGCACACTGTGCAATCATACCTGTCTTTTATTCATTTATTATATCTGAAGACAATGCACTGTTCCTAAAGTAATATCCCCACTTGAAGGGGGAACAGGTGTTCACTGCTGAACACCCTGCTGACATCTTTAGGAGGAAGAAGGGGAGGAAAGATCCCTAACCTATGTAGGAAACCATCCTCTTGCCCACTCAATGCCCAGTACCTGGTCCACCATGTCTCTCTGAACAAGGATGGGCAGGTGGTGGATGATAGCCAGAAGAAGACTAACAGCCTGATCATGAGGAAGAAAGGGGAGCAGCCTGGCCACCAAGGTCTTCCCCTTCTTCACAGACAGTACCTGCAGGAAGCTATCTGCTGCCTCCCTGCAAGGAAGAACATTTTTCAGAGCTCTACATGAAGAAGTCACATGCCAGGAAGGAAAAGCAGGCAGCACCAAAGCCAGTGTCAGCTATCCTTCCCTTCTTGGGTAAAGGTGGAACCTTCCCGCACTCACTCCACGTTGTCCTGTTCCTGAATGTTTAAGGCCTGGAAGAGCTTCTCAACCTGGTAGCTCTTCTGCCCGGAGTAGCAGGGCTGTGGAGGCCCATCCTTCTGCTCTTCCTCTACCTCTAGTAATTGAAGAAACATCTAAGGGGAGGAGAACATTCATTTTGAGAAATATCCCATTCTCAAAAAGTAAACTGAGAGCTGGGAATGTGGCTTAGTGGTAGAAGGGCTGACTAGCATGCATGAAGCCCTGGGTTCAGTACCATAGAAACAAAAAAGCCAGAAGTAGAGCTGTGGCTCAAGTGGTAGAGTGCTAGCCTTGAGCAAAAGAAGCTCAGGGACAGTGCCAGGCCCTAAATTCAAGCCCTAGGACTGGCAAAAAAAAAAAAAGGAAATTGAAAGCTCCTCCCCGACAAGAACTGATGTCTCACCTTCTCAATCCGGGATAATACTCGAAGCCTCTGACTGCTCGCAGCTCCAGTTTCCTATGAAAAGATATCCCTTGACCATTGGCTTCACAGCCTTCCATAGCAGGCCAGGTCTCAGACCATCTAGAAATGGAGCTAGAAAGGCTAGCCACAGGCTAGCCACAAGGCTGATTGCACTGCTTCCTCATTCTTTTGACACAAAGATCTGAATTCAAATAAAAAAATAGGTTCTGGGAAGATAAAAGCTCCTACCTGCTCTTGAGTTCCAAGGGATACAGCATCAATAGCTCGGCGAGGACTAAAACACGTTGATACAGCTACCTGACCCAAGGAGCCCTCAATTCGAACCACTGCATAAAAGGAGTCAGGAGAGGCACATTGCTTTCCTCTTTCCACTCACATCCAGCTGAATGCTTGACCCACGCCAGCAGTACATCCCAGCCCTACCAGACTCATAAGCCTCTGCCTTCTGGATGTAAGGTGTCACCAGCTTCAAAGTCTCAATTCTGTTCCTTTGTCCAAGTAGCTCTTCATCTGCCTGCTTCTTCTCTAGCTTCCGATAGTATTCCTGAGAGTCCATGGAAGAAAACAGACGCAACTCATCTTGATTCTCTTAACAGCTGGGCACTGGTGGCTCAAACCTGTAATCCTAGATACTTGGGAGGCCAAGATCTGAAGATCATGGTTTGAAGCCAGCCCAGAAAGGAAAGCCCATGAGACTCATTAACTACCAGAAAACTGGAAGTGGGGCTGTGGCTCAAGTGGTACAGCATTCGCCTTGAGACAGCACCCAGGCCCAGAGTTCAAGCCCCACGACCAACCAAATATATATATATGGATGTGAATATTTATAGGACATTTTTCTTTTTTTTTTTGTCGGTCGTGGGGCTTGAACTCGGCCTGGGTGCTGTCCCTCAGCTCTTCAGCTCAAGGGGAGTGCTCTACCACTTGTGCCACAGTGCCACTTCCAGTTTTCTGGAAAAAAAGTCTCACAGACTTTTCTTCCCTAGGCTGGCTTTGAACCGCAATCCTCAGATCTCAGCCTCCTGAATGGCTTGGATTACAGGCATGAGCCACTGACACCCAGCTTATAGGACATTTCTAAGGCTCACAAAAATCTCTAGGAAATTGTAAAGAATCCCATTTGGCTGAAATATAGGAGCTTGAGATGTGAACTTCAGAAATATGATTCCTGCAAGACACCAGTGGCTCATGTCTGTAATCCTAGCTACTTAGGAGGCTGAGATCTGAACACTGTGGTTCAAAGCCAGCCAGGGAAAGTTAAGTGCATGAGACATCTCCAAATATCTGGCAAAAAAAAGCCAGAAGCAAAGCAGTGGCTCAAGTGGTAGAGTGCCAGCCTTGAGCACAAGAGCTCAGGGACAGCTGGATATTGGTAGCTCACACCTGTTACTCAGGAGGCTGAGATCCCTGAGGATCACAGTTGAAAGCCAGCCTGAGCAGGAAAGTCCATGAGACTCTTACTGCCAATTAACCACCAGAAAACCAGAAGTGGCACTGTGGCTCAAAGTGGTAGAGTGCTTGCCTTGAGCTAAGGCCCAGAGTTCAAGCCCCACAACTGACAAACATAAAAATTAAAAATAAAAAAGCTCAGGAACAACGCTCAGGCTCCAAGGACACAGGGCTTCAATGACAGGATCCTTATCCTCTCAGACACACATCCTCATAAGAGGGTGAGCAAAGGCCCTGCTTGCTTCATTTGGATCCGAAGCTGTGACCTCGGGGCTCACCTGGTAGTAATAGTCGTCCAGGTGGGGGTTCTCACTCTGCAGCTGAACCATCTCAACTTTGATCACCCAGTCCTTCTCCTTGCGGCTCATGAGGCTAGCATAGGGGTCTGGCTGCGGAGACCAAGGCTTCTTGACTGGGGGACTTCAAGCCAATAGGAACATCCCTTTAGGCTCACCTACCCCTGCTACAGTGAACGTTCTAAGGAGGGGTGAGCAGGAAGTGGAATGTTCTGGGAAGGATGAAAAGGGTGTCCTGGAGAGCAATGGTTTGAAAGTCCCCAGTGTGCAGGGACTCTGGGGGGAGGTAAGTGGTCACAAGGATGCGGACAGGCTACTCTAAGCTCTCATCTAGACTTTTTACCTTGTTTGGCTTTGCTGCTGCAGTTGCAAGATCCGTTTGTGCTGAGGGTGGAGTTGAGTCAGATGACTGGGAAGGCTTAAAAAGGGAACAAACCGGGTGGAAGCTCAACATGCCTCCCAAACCTTCCATTCATTAAGCTTGAGTAAGCTCAGTTGGAGAGATCCAAGGGGAGCCTCCATGACATGCCTCCCCAGATCAGCCAATAGGAAACATCAGCATCTTCACAACCCACCCCCAAGATATAGGTTCCTACAATCTGGCTACAGAAATTTTCTGCACAGCAGGAAAACTAGAGTGACTAAATAGCACGCCCAGAGTCCCAGTCTTAGTTCTGTCCTGTGAGCCGATGTCGCAGGTGTTGGTCTAATTGGGGTTCCATTTCCTCATCTGTGAAAGACTGTTCCACGTTTCAGATGCCTGTAGCTATTTTTCTGTGACAGCTGGTAGAATGGCACCCGCCCTCCTTGGCTGCTACCTCCTGAGACACTTAGGACAAAGGCAGCTTCTTCTGCCACTGCAGTCCTTGCACTAGTACCTGAGCCTGGAGGGCCACGTGGTCAGTGGGCTACAGAAGAGAGACGGGTCCGGAGAGGGCTGTCGGAGTCCAAAGTGTCGGGCTGGAGAGCTGGCACTCGGAAGCACCGGCTGGAAAAGAACCAGTGACATGTCCAGGGGCTGAGAGAGGAATTAAGAGGTGTGGGAAGAGATGGCTACTGAGGCTTGGCTCCGCTCCTTTCCTGCCTTTCCCCTAACATTTTGCTGTACGGCACAATCAGGAAGTAGCTAGCTGTCAGGCCACCCAATTAGAACTCTTCCCCTGGTTGTTTTTGCTGGTCATGGGGCTTGAACTTTGGACCTGGACACTGTCCCTGAGCACTTCAGCTCAAGGCCAGCACTCTACCACTTGAGCCACAGCGCCACTTCTGGTTTTCTGGTGGTTCACTGGAGATAAGAGTCTCATGCACTTTCCTGCCCAGGCTGGCTCTGAATCGTGATTCTCAGATCTCAGCCTCCTGAGTAGCTAGGATTACAGGCGTGAGCTACCAGTGCCCAGCTTCTTTCCCTTGTTTTAAGAGTTAGTTTGGGGCTGGGAAGGTGGCTCAGTGGTAGAGCGCTTGCCTTGCATGCCTGAGGCCCTGGGTTCGATTCCTCAGCACCACATAAGCAAAAAGAAAAAAGCCGGAAGTGGCGCTGTGGCTCAAGTGGTAGAGTGCTAGCCTTGAGCTGAAGAGCTGAGGGACAGCGCCCAGGCCCAGAGGTCAGGCCCCACGACTGGGCCCCCCCCCCAAAAAAAAGTTAGTTTGTCACTCCCCAAGAAGCATCTCTCCAGTCCATGACAGCTGGATGGCCTGTGGGTTTTAACACCTTTCACTCTCTTCTCTGTACCGACAGTCTTCTCTCAGGCTACATTTTCAGCCAAGAGGACTGGGCTCCACTGCCTCCTCTGACACACTGGAAGCTCTCAACTATGATTTCCTTCTAGTTCTCCCTGGTGTTTGGATTCCTGCCGTGCAGAGCCATGTTCCTATTATATAGTTAAGTGACGGCAGGTGATCCTTGCAGCGCCAAGCTCAGGTTGGGAGCTGAAGTAGAACATGTTCATCGTAACCTGTCTCAAAAAGGGCTGAAGGTGAGGGAAGAAGTGTTCAGGGATAGTCTGTGAGGTTTACACAGTTCAGGACAACTCTCTCCTCCCCTCCTGCCACGGTACCTGGGGACTTTGAATGGCAGTGAGGACAGCTGGATCCCCAACATTCTCCTCCTGCTCTGGAAATGGGACAAGATCTGGATCTGAACGATCTTCCTCTTCATTCTCTTCCAACTGGGATGAGGATACCAGTTCTTCCTCGGGAGCCAAGGAGCCACAGAACTTACCTGGCCCTTGGCGCAAGTGTGGGCCTGTGGAAGGAGATGGGGACTCTTGTCTAGGGGATGGTACTCAGCAGCACTTCTGTTCATCAGCCATCTCTAGACCTACCTTTAAATCAAACTAATCTGTTCCATGGCTTCACCAAACCATGAAAGCAAACAGCCTGACAGCTGCCACACACACACCCCTCTTCAATGACCTCATTGACTACCACAAGCTCTCTCCACCTGCTCTCCTCCACCCAACAGTCCCTTCTGCTGCCTCTTTAAACAACCAAAGTGCCAGCTGTCCTGACTCACTGTATTTGAACTGTGTGATAGATACCTGGCATCTTGTTTTTGTTTTTTTGGTTTGTTTTTATTTTGTCGGTCATGGGGCCTGAACTCGGGGCCTGGGCGCTGTCCCTCAGCTCTTCAGCTCAAGGCTAGCACTCTACCACTTGAGCCACAATGCCATTTCCGGCTTTTTTTGCTTTTGTGGTACTGAGGAATCGAACCCAGGGCCTCATGCATGCAAGGCAAGCACTCTACCACTGAGCCAACTTCCCAGCCCATACTTGACATCTTTATGTCCATCGAATGAAGCTATGAAGGCGGTTACTTTGATTCCCCAAAGTGAGTAAGGAAAATAAAGCTCAGCAAAGTGTCACTAGGTAGCAAGTGGATGAGTTTAGAGCCACTTTGGGTGAAATGGCCAAACCTAGGCTGATGCAGCCAGCAGCGTCCGCCCTCCCTGGGCTTTTATGTAGATACAATGGTCCATGCAGTGATACCTTCAAGACGTTTCGTCTTGCCAGGCTGGCAGGCTTCCTCCTTGACTGTGTCCTCCACTGTCAGAGCATGCTCAGCCTCTGGAAGGTAAACCTGGAACAGGGAAGAAACCCAGAGACATCTCCCTCCTCGGTCAGTAAGGGAGGCATGAAACAACCTCTTCCCGGCAAGGTGGCCTCAGTCCTACTGACTCAAAGCTCAGAAGGGAAGCCCTGCGCTCTCAATGACATAAACCCCTGCTCCCCATCTCCCCCGGCCCAGCAATAAGGAGCTGCTCTGCAAAGGGACAGAAGTTGGGAACAGGCCTAGGAGCTGGAGAGAGAAACTCTCCCACAAGAATGCCACCCAGGGATACACCGAGACTCCTGGTAACAGGCACCCACCGCTTGACTGTGGCTCTCCTTTCCCTTCAGATTAGCCATGGCAGCCTGGGCCGAGACCCCACTGGCTGGCTGCTCTTGGTTTTAAAGGTCCAGCTCCTCCCCTCTCACCCAATAAAGGGCCAGCACTCCCGAACTCCTGGGATTTGGTGGGGATATGAGAACTCTAATAAAGAAATGGGGAAGGAAAAATGTAAGCTGTGCGTTCACACATCCAAGTCTGTCAGTACACTTCACTGGGACTAACATTTTGGGGCAGGATTTCTGTTTTCATACCCTTATAGGAACTTTGTGGAATTGCTCCTACTTCAGCCACAGGTTTTGCTCCAATAACATTAGATAGAAAAGGCCTGGGTGCATTCGAAGGAGGTTGTCGAACAACCAAGTTGCTACAGCTTCAGGTGGTAGTACACGAGGCTCGGCCAAGTACACCTGATGATGCTTGAACGTCACCGTGCTGGATTAGTTTCGATCTGCTACTGCACTTGCTCTAGAGGAGGGGCCCCTGTGAATATAGAAGCCAGAGCTGGAAAGAAAGAACACTTGTATCCAATAACCCAAACTTATATCTTCTGAGCTGCTTTAGTAGGAAACTGGTCCCAAAGTGCAGGAGAAATACACCACCACCAAATTAATGACAACAACAAAAACAAGTGTACCAGAAGCAGGTCTATTGCTAGTAAACCTATCTGAGCCTCTTCTAACTTTTTAGTTAGATCCTGGGTTTTGTGCCCACATCCTGTGTTCAGCTGCAATCCACGTGACTCTGTAGGATTTTTGAGTCAAATTAAAAACAGTTAATTCCTCTATATCAGAAATGTAAGTTAGAGGCAGGTGTCGTTCATGTACCCCAGCTGTTGGGAGGAAGAGGCAAGATAGAGAATTTGATCTAAAAGAAGAGCAACTCCTTTGTAGAATAATAGATAATAATTTTTTAAAAGACAATGAAAAAAAGAGAAAGGGAAGGAAGGAAGGAAAGAAGGAAGGAAGGAAGGAAGGAAGGAAGGAAGGAAGGAAGGAAGTTAGGAAGGAGGGAAGGAAGGAAGGAAGGAAGGGCCAGCCCTTCTTTTTGGGAGATGAAGTGAGGTAGGTAATAACGAGTTTTAACTCAGGGCCTGGGACTTATTAGGCAGATACTCTCCTATTTGAAACATGCTTTCAACCCTTTTGCTTTGGCCTTATTTTTCCAGAAAAGGTCTTTAATTTTTCCCTAGGTTTAGCCTCAGCCTATGATTCTTCTACCAGTGCCTCCTGAGTCGCTGGAATTGCAGGCCTGATTCCGTAACACCATTCGAGGTCATCTGTTAGAGCTTTATTGTTAGGATAATACCCAAGGCCTCAGAAACACCGTATCAACTGAGTCATACCCCTAGCCCTTTTTTCTCCCCAGGGTTTCATCAAACTTTGCTAGGGGTTGGCCTGGAACTTAATATTCCTGCTTCCTCTGAGTCCTGAGTAGCTAGGATTGCAGATGTTAAATTGTAATCCTCTTGTGAAGTTCAGGGGGGAAAATTATCGAAACACTTCCTCCCCTCTTCCCCCCACCAATTAGGTATATTAGCACTGAATTACAGTCTAAAGTTCACATTATGTCCTTGATACCCAGGTCTCTGTAAGCTCATCCTTAAGGCCTGCTGTTGTCCTGAGATCATGATCTATTTATGGGTCTACACATTATAGTCTGCGACCTCGTTGGAGGAGAGATTTCCCCAGTGCCTATCATAGCATCATGGAGTAAATAACTATTGAATAATTAAATGATTGTTTTGAACACTGAGACTATATAGACGGGCTAAAAGCATGTAGTCAAGGATAAGAAGAACAAAGCTTTGGGGCCCCCTCTGTGTGTGTTACTCTCATACCTCATCAACCACTGGTAAGGCAGGAGTGGTCTCGTTCTTTGGATTGCCATACCTGTGAAATAGCCCAAAATGGCAGCACCAGAGGGTCTGAGTCCTGTGAATCTCACATCGTGTGCTGAGCCTGCTTCACTGGGGCTGAGCCAGACCAGATAAGATCAGGGTAGGAGTGGAGAACCCAGCTCCTGAGCAAGCAAATTCCAAAGCCCTTCCTCTTACACAGCCCATGATATATGCTTCCAATTTGAGTGTACCCTAAGTCCTCTGTGATGGCAGAGTCTGGCTAACCAAAAGATGAACTAGACTTTGGAAAGGCAAATATTTACACTGAAGTAGATTCATGGTAACCAAGTCCAAATGTGTGTTTTTCTAGAAAGGGGGGGATGAATTGGTTTTGTACTGCTGCTGCAAGGGATTTCCACAAATTCAGTGGCTTAAAACAACACAACTTGCCGTTTATCTCTGTAGCAGACCAATACAAGTCTCAAGGAGCTAAGATCACAGTGTTAGGAAGGATAGCATTCCCTTCGGAAAGTTCTAGGGAACTATGTCCTTGACCTTGCCAGCTTCTAAAGGCTGCCTTCATTTCTTGATTCATGGCCTCTTCATCTGAGATTGCATCTCATTGACTACTCTGCTATAACCAGTCATGAAATGTGTTCTGCCTTTTTTTTTTTTTTTTTTCCTGCTACTGGGGATTGAACTCAGGGCCTTTTGCTCATTAGAGAATGACATTTGATGGGGCTGGAGGCATGGCTCAGTTGGTAATATGCCATCCA